AGCTTAAAGCCAAATATACTGCCGAAATCAAATCACTCAAATCCAATATTAAAACACTAAAGAGAGAGGCAACTTTGACGCAGAAAGCTTCGTCCGCTAATAAGGTCAAGATACTTTCTCTTGAAGCTAAGATTGAATTGGAAGGTAAGTTGCTCGATCTAGAACTAGAACGTAATTCGCATATAATGGGAGGGGTGATAGAGAAGCCAGCCCAAATAGTCTCATCTGAAATTGATAATCCCAAAGAGATCGATTCTCTCAGGCTTGAATTGGAAAAGGCAAAGGATAGTTTATCCTCAAAAGATTATGCGATAGAATGCATGGAAAAAGGGATAGAATCATCAAATAACATATATAATCAGACGATAGATTCTTTATTTTCAGCGCGATCAAATTTACTGGAGGCAAATAGATCCCTTAGAGAGCAGTTAGCGTTAAAGAAAAATAATGAAGTAGATCATCCACTCCCGCCTATAAACAATTCATCTCAACTTGGTCCTGAAGGGACTCTTCCCAATCTTGACCTGACAATTTTTGTAGGTGGCGTAGAAGCAGTATCATTGTCCCAAGAAATACCTCTAGTACCAGCTGTTCCTGCCATTGAAAGTTCCTTAATGTCATATGCTATACTTGCTTTATTTCTCCTTATAATTATATGGATCATTGGGAAAAAAATATGGAATTCGTGGAAAAAAAGTAATATCGAGTATTCTCATAACTGGAACTATTTTTTATCATCTCCGGATATTTCTGAGGCTGGGCTGTATGATCGGAGGCCGGAAGTTTGGAGTGATCATCCTAGATCAGAAGTTCGAAGATAGGAATTGAAGTTAGCTAGTATTATTGCACGAAAAAAAATATGCAGTCATAAATAATATTACTGTCTCCTTGAGACTAAGTTTTCTTAGCTGAAATTAACACATCCCACTAAAAATACTTAGCAATATAGTTCAATAATATCGTCTATATCCGCTTTGGATGAATCATCTTTTTTGTCATCCTGTAACTTTGATAATGTTCGATAGCGTGTGATTTCTAGACCAACCACTTTGTATCATGTGTTTCGGAAACCTGCTCGTAGCTTACACTCATCCAAATAATATGATGTTAAATATTGTTCTAAGGACATTGCTTGCTTCTTAGTAACTAATTTATACATACTGTCTCTATACTTTATATCAACCTCAGAAATTTCTTTAAGCAATGATAAAAGTTTTAAGCGGATGGATTCTTCTTGCTTATCTAGCGCATTGAGGAAGGATTGGTAATAAGTATTGTTAGTCAGGTGTTCTCCCTTGTTAGCATAAGTAATATCAAATAATTTTTTCACGTAAATACGAGCTCCTTTCCATAGATTAGATATAATGGCTTCATCTTTTTTTGGGCCTTCATGAAGGTTTTTGATATAGCCTCTAACCCACTTTTCAGCTGATTTCTGTGCTAAGGAATCTCTTATTTTTGATATCTCATCTTCATCTATTTCATCTTCATCCTCTTCATCTTTATCCAGGTCATCTTCATTCGTATCATCCTCTTTATTGTCGCCCACTTTATTACCATCTTTTAACTTTTTTAAGGCTTCCAGCACAATTTCAGATGATGGCTGGAATATTTCATCATAGTTAATAAATCGTGCACAAAGGCTGACAATGGTTTTCAGATAATAGCTAATATCGATCTTTTTACCTAATCGCCTCACTATCTCTGGATACTCCATTTTATCCCCCATCTTCTGTGATGAATCATTCTCAACTACAATGTACTCAAAACTAGGGTTCCTCAAAATCGAATCGAATCAAATATTTAAGCAATTTGAATTTGATTTGATTTTTTCAAATCGAATC